GAGAGAGAGAGAGAGAGAGAGAGAGAAGAGAGAGAGAGAGAGAGAGGGAGAGAGAGAGAGAGAGAGAGAGAGAAAGGATAGATGTAGAGAAGAGATAGAGATAGATAGATAGATAGATAGAGAGAGAGAGAGAGAGAGAGAGAGAGAGAGGAGAGAGAGAGAGAGAGAGAGAGAGAGAGAGAGAGAGAGAGAGAGAGAGAAATAGAGATAGATAGATAGATAGAGAGAGAGAGAGGAGAGAGAGAGAGAGAGAGAGAGAGAGAGGAGAGAGAGAGGAGAGAGAGAGAGAGGACAAAGAGATGTAGAGAGAGAGAGATAGAGATAGATAGATAGAGAGAGAGAGAGAAACAAAGATAGATAGATAGATGGAGAGAGAGAGAGAGAGAGAGAGAGGAGAGAGAGAGAGAGAGAAGAGAGAGAGAGAGAGGAGAGAGAGAGAGAGAGAGAGAGAAAGAGAGACAGAGAGAAGAGGAGAGAGAGAGAGAGAGAGAGAAGGCGAGAGAATTAACGACAAGCCATTAGTAATGTCTTATTCCCACGGCGATCATATGAAGGATATATGGAGACAATTTATGCTAATTAATCTCAGTTTGTTTTGGGACACTAATGACTCGCCAAGATTTACGAGTTATTGTTTGCGTGTGTGTGTTTGTCTGTGTGTTGTCATCTTGTGTGTTTGTTTACGTGTGTGTGCGTGTGTGTTTGTTTGTGTGCGGTCATCTTGTGTGTTTGTTTACGCGTGTGTGTGTGTTTGTTTGTGTGTGTCATCTTGTGTGTTTGTTCGTGTGTGTTCTTCTTGTGTGTTTGTTTGTGTGTGGTTTCCTTGTGTGAGATTGTTTGTTTGTTTGTATATGTGAACTTTGTTTGTGCGAGCTTGTTTAGGTTTATGAGCTTTGTATGTTTATCTGTTTGTTTGAGCGTCTGTACAGTTTATGTATATGTTTGTGTTTAGTTGCTTATTTGTTTTTGTATCCATGTGTTTATTTGTGCATATGTTTGTAAGATTATTTGTTTGTCTTTATGTGATTATTTGTTTGTTTATATGTATTTGTTTTTTTATGTGTGTGTATCTGTTTGTGGTGCGTGTGTCAATATGTTTGTTTGTTTGTGCTTTTGTGAGCTTGTTTGTATTTGTTTGTTTATGTGTTTATTGTTTATGTTTTGTGCTTGTTTGTTTATATGCTTTTATGAGTTTGTTTCTGTTTGTTTAAGTGCTTTTATGAGCTTGTTTGTGTGTTTACGTGCTTTCATGAGGAAAATATGAAGGACAATAGCAAATAGATAACGAAAGAGAGAGAGAAAAAAAACAAAGAAAGTGGAAGATAAGAAAATGAAGGTTGTAGATACGAGAAGGATGAAGACAAATCAATGACTATGTAAAATGAGTTGGAAGAAAAATAAAATGAAATAGAGATTAAAACATTAAAGAAACGAAAGAAGAAAACAAAGAAGATAAGAAAAGATATTTAAAACGAAAACAGAAAAAAGAAAATCAATAATGATAATGACGAGGAAAAGTAATAATGAAAATAGTAATAATAACAAAACAAAATAAGAAGGAGAATGATATCAATGATAATAAGAAGGAGAACAAGAATAAAGAAAAAGAATAAGGAAGACAAAAAACGAAAAGCGAGAGAAGGAGAAAAGGCGCTAACAGACAGTAAATTAAGAAGATAAAGGATAATAGAAGAAAGAATAAGAATATAAAAGAAAACACTGAGGAAGAAAAAAAAACGCTAAAAGATAAAAGAGAGAAAGAAAGATAACCAAGAATAAATGAAAAACGGAAGGAAAGAGAATGGAAAAAACAAATGAAAACAAAAAAAATGTAACGTAACGAACAAACAATACAACCAGAACAACAACCAAAATTATAACGAAGGGAAGAAATGAAATAAATGAATAAATGAATAAATAAACTTAAAACCCTAAAAAAAAAGAAAAAAATCATCTTAAGCTTGATCCTCTACAGAATCAATAAAACAACAACAACAAAATATCTATCGTGTTTCATTGTTCTTCCCTTCGTTGTTTTAGTCACAGCAACGAAGAAGATGCCTTTTGCAATAGGTCCTTGCGCCGGATCATGGGGCACTGTTGGTGGGACCGTGTGTCCAACCAACACCTACTCAAACACACACCCACGCCGACACCCACATCCACACACACATCTACACTCCACCACACTCACACATATCCATCCACACTACCCCATCCATACTCACCCACACACACCCACATCCACAAACAATACAACCAGAACAACAACCAAAACAGGACCCGTTACCTGCACAATCCGGGATCGCCAACTCAGGCTATACGGCCACCTGGCTCGCTTTCCACAGGCTGATCCTGTCCATCAGGTTAGAAACACCGGGGTGGAGGACCTGGGACAACTAGGAAGTCTGAGTGAGGCCCGTGGACGAGCCTATGAAGTCTGCTCATAACCCTGGGTGGAGGAGGCCCATGTGGGACGACCTAGGAAGTCTGCCTCAATAACCCTGGGGTGAGGAGGCCTGTGGGACGACCTAGGAAGTCTGCTCATAACCCTGGGTGGAGGAGGCCTGTGGGACGACCTAGGAAGTCTGCTCATAACCCTGGGTGGAGGAGGCCTGTGGGACGACCTAGGAAGTCTGCTCATAACCCTGGGTGGAGGGAGCCTGTGGGACGTTTAGGACTGACTCTGGTGGAGGAGGCCTTGGGACGACGCTAGGAAGTCTGCTCATAACCCTGGGTGGAGAGGCCTGTGGGACGAACCTAGGAAGTCTGCTCATAACCCTGCCCTGGGGACGACCTAGGAAAGTTGCTCATAACCCTGGGTGGAGGAGGCCCTGTGGGACGACCTAGGAAGTCTGCTCATAAACCCTGGTGGAGGAGGCCTGTGGGACGACCTAGGAAGTCTGCTCATAAACCCTGGGTGAGGAGGCCTGTGGGACGACCCTAGGAAGTCTGCTCATAACCCTGGGTGGAGGAGGCCTGTGGGACGACCTAGGAAGTCTGCTCATAACCCAGGCCTGTGGACGACCTAGGAATCTGCTCATCTGGGTGATGGAGGCCTGTGGGACGACCTAGGAACGACCTGGTGAGGAAGGCCTGTGGGACGACCTAGGAAGTCTGTAACCCTGGTGATTGGAGAGCTAGGAAGTCTGCTCATAACCTGTGTGGACGACCTAGGAAGTCTGCTCTAACCCTGGTGGAGGGAGGCCTGTGGGACGACCTAGGAAGTCTGCTCATAACCCTGGGTGATGGAGGCCTGTGGGACGACCTAGGAAGTCTGCTCATAACCCTGGGTGGAGGAGGCCTGTGGGACGACCTAGGAAGTCTGCTCATAAACCCTGGTGGGAGGAGGCCTGTGGGACGACCTAGGAAGTCTGCTCATAACCCTGGGTGGAGGAGGCCTGTGGGACGACCTAGGAAGTCTGCTCATAACCCTGGTGAGGAGGCTGTGGGACGACCTAGGAAGTCTGCTGTGCCTGTGGACGACCTAGGAAGTCTGCTGCATAACCCTGGGTGGAGGAGGCCTGTGGGACGAACCTAGGAAGTCTGCTCATAACCCTGGGTGGAGGAGGCCTGTGGGACGACCTAGGAAGTCTGCTCATAACCCTGGGTGGAGGAGGCCTGTGGGACGACCTAGGAAGTCTGCTCATAACCCTGGGTGGAGGAGGGCCTGTGGGAGACCTAGGAAGTCTGCTCATAACCTGGGTGGAGGAGGCCTGTGGGACGACCTAGGAAGTCTGCTCATAACCCTGGGTGGAGGAGGCCTGTGGGACGACCTAGGAAGTCGTGGCTCGAGCAGATCGATCAAACCTGTCGAGAAGAGCTCGAGATGGGCCGAGTCCCTGCCTGGCGGCTTGCCACGAGGGATCCCAAAAGGTGGAAGCAGAAGGTGGACGCGGCTATGCGCCCCCGTCGGCGTTAGCTCCTGATGATGATGAGGATGAAAGAAGAAGAGGAAAGAGAGAGAGAGAGAGAGAGACAGAGACAGAGAGATAGAGATAGTTAAGACATTTCTTTTCCTTGGGGAGAGCGATGATTAGACGAAATAGAAAGATAGAAATAGAAAGAGACAAAGGAAAGAGAAATGGGAATAGAGGAAATAGAGAAGAAGGCATAAGTAGATTAAGGGAGGGAGTCACGTAAATATAAATCTGAAGAAAAATGTAAGATTTCCTGCAAGCGTTTTATTGTCTTAGGCCTATAAAACAGATGTCTAAATTTTTATTTATTTATTTATTTATTTATTTTGTTTGTTTTATTTTATTTATTTATAATTAAATTAAACAAAATATTTTTTGGCTTTATACGCCAAAACAATGACTAAAACACTTAACTTACTTTTCATAATGAAATTATTATATGACAATAATGATAATGAATGGGTGATGATAGTACTGTTAGTGCATACTGATATTGATGCTTATGATAATGATAATGACAATGAAAATAACAATGAGGGTATGAATGATGATGATATGATGGATATTAAAAAAATAGGAAGATAATAGTAATGAATGATTAAGTATGATGAAATTGTATGACAATAGTATGAATAAGCAAGTAATGAACGTATCAACTAATAGTTTAATGAGATTAGATGTGGTAATAGTAATATGAAACATTGATAACTAACAGTGATGAACACTAAAAGATAATCGAAGAAGAATGATATTGTGGATGAAATGAGCCGATGAAATAGAGAAAATAATTGATGGCAAGATTTGGTGAATGGAGTATATCACGATGATGATAATACAAGGAGTGATCATTCAATTAATACAGTGGAATAATGGCATATGACAATACAGTCGGACAGAAACTGTGAGGAGAGGTGATTACAGCGTGAGACACAATAATCCGAATCAACAGGCAGACACAATGGATAGAAAGTGACGTGTGTTGTAATAACGTCGGTACTGGCGCTTACATAAAGGAGAATAGCGAACTAAAACAGAGAATACAAAACGAAATAGACACCGCGGTAGTGCAGTATGGTGAGGATGGCTGTCGGCGATACTGACAGGCAAAAGAGCCTCGACAATGGCATGTCGCGAGGAAAGCCGACAAAGATGGCACGGAAGAGCCACGTGAAATAGAATAGATCTACAGTGAGTGTGATGGAATATTG